TGAAACTAACCAAAGCCTACAGAAAGAAAAATGTTTATCAGGACTGCCCACTTCTTTTTGATTACATGGATTTAAACAAGTCGAAATACATTATACTCATAAGAAAATCTTCCAGCATCTTTATTAGCACATAGCAAGGAACAACAAGCATTCTCTCCTCTAACAAAATTAACATCCCACAGAACTGTTTGTACTTGGCAGCATGAACATTTCATTTCAGAGTGCTGCTAAATTAAACAAGCCTATGTTGTATTGAACACAATGAGCAGGAAACCCTCGCATGCTCCTAGACTTCATTAGATGATGCTGAAGAACATTAGAAATAAGGAGGATAGTATGAATGATGGCAGTGGTGGTGACAGAATAGCATTACCGTCAGTCTTTTCAACATTTTCATTATCTAGAATACAACAATGGAAACATTCTAACAACTTTCTTTTTTTTTTTTCTTTTGTGGAACTGGAGATTGAACCACACAGGAGTGCACTACCACTGGACTACATCCCCAGACCTTTTTATTTTAATACAGGGTCTCACTAAGTTGCTGAGGCTGGCATTATACTATCAATCTTCCTGTCACAGCCTCTGAAGTAACATACAACTTTCTAAGATTCTACCAACACCCTTCTCTGTATGCATAAGAAAGCACTGGAACTTAGAGATAGAAAGATCTGAATTCAAGTGATTTTTTTTTCAGAGAGAGAGAGAGAGCTTTTAAATATTCAATTTTTAGTTTTCGGTGGACACAACATCTTTATTGTTTTATTTTTATGTGGTGCTGAGGATGGAACTCAGCACCCCATGCATGCCAAGCAAGCTTGAGCCACATCCCCAGCCTCAAGTTTTTTTGTTTGTTTGTTTTGTTTTTTTAAACCTGCTAGCTACATGCTCAAGGACAAATTTCACAATTTTACTGAGCCCTTGTTATTGTGAGAACAAAATAAAGTAATACACACAAAGAGCACAGTGCAATGCTCAATCCACATGCCACCACAAAAATCCTCACTGTTCACAACTCTTTACATCAAATACTGATTTCAGAACTTATACCAGAAAAGGTGTAATTAACAATGGCGATCCTTCTACCTTGTGAACATCTAAAGATCTATTAAGATTTCACATTGAATGAAGAATATTCCTCCTTCATTCCCCTCCCATATAGGTTTTTTAAAAAACTATCAATAAAGTCTCTTTAAATGTATTAACTCAGGGCATGACACAAAGCATTCATTCACCTAAGAGGTATATAAAAGCACTGAACTGAGAGAAAGAGAGACATGGAGAAAAACACTCTCTATTAGAAAGAAATTTGCACATTTTGCAGTGCAATAATTGGTAACCTTTTCATAAAAATTGACGCAATCTGATTATAATTCCCAAGTGTCAGTAATTGGTCCTTAAGGTAAAAGAAAAAAAAAAGTGGGATGGTTTCAAGGACCAAAAAAAGATGTGGGAAGATATCTTTTCCCATTGACAGCAATTAGTGTTTGAGTGATGGCTGCTAGAATGTTTAGACTGAAAAACTTTGTTATATTAGAACAGACTGAAATATATCTAAAACAAAACACATGGGGTTTAACATACACATACACAATCTTCAAGTAGGTGTCCTCTCTAAACAAACCAAAGAAGGAAAAGACTGTGTTAAATTCCAGTTGCACTGCTACACATAAGGTGTATGGAGGGGGATAGTGGTTTTCAGCCATATTCCCATGCTGATGTCTATTTAAAGATAGCATCTAGATTCTGTAGTAATAGACTTGCTCTGCCTAGCTCCACACAAATTTGCATCATGCCACACACTGGACAAAACTTTCAGGGTTACAAGGGAGGAAATTTCTCAGGGGAATGGGACATGCAGAACTTTGGGATATCCCTAAGGAGTTTCACTAGCCTCTGAGCTCATTATGGACCTTGTGCCCCAGAGCTACTGTTCTTCCCTCCACTTTCTAAAACTTCACCCATAAGACTTTGAGTTAACAGTGTCCCTGGGGGAGACCTGGTCAGTTGCAGAGTCTATAAAAGGAAGCCCTGAGGGTTTTCATCTACACTGTACAGGAGCACTTAGCATCTTTCCTCCTACTGCAGCTCAGTACTACCACCCTGATTGCAAAGCTGTTTCATCTCAGAGTCCACAGCCTCAAATTCTGCTCAGGAATACCGAACTTCTCTGTCTACCCAACGTTCCAATCAAATGATCATGTACTCTCCCAGTCTAAACTAAACTTTATGCCTAACACAGGAAAACACTGTTTCAAATGCACAAAATCCAACTCATTTAATATGTAATAAAGTCTTTTTTTCATTTTTTTGGTAGTTGTAGATGGCCATAATAGCTGTAATTATTTATTTGTTTCTTTGTTTGTTGTGGTGCTGAGGATCGAACCCAGTGCTTCACACATGCCAGGCAGACACCCTACCACTGAGCCATAATCCAGCCCTGTAATAAAGTCTTAATATCTATTTAAATGTAGTATAAAACTTTTAACAAATGCTGCTAACAAGGGATCGGGGATGTGGCTCAAGCAGTAGCATGCTCGCCTGGCATGCGTGCGGCCTGGGTTCGATCCTCAGCACCACATACAAACAAAGATGTTGTGTCTGCCGAAAACATTGTATTAGGTTTTCTAAGCAATCTGATTTAAAAGTATGTGCAGGATGTTCATAGGTTATATGCAAACACTATGCCTTTTTATATAAGAGACTCAAGCATCCTTGAATTTCAGTATCCACAAAGGGGTCCTCAAACCAATCCTTCATGAATAATGAAGAGAAACTGTACTTGTGGGAGTTAAAAATGGTGCAACACTTAAGAAAGGAAGTATTTAACAAAATTATAAATGCACTGGCCACAGGTGCAGCGATTCCACTTCTAGGAGATGTACCTGCACATGTATAAAATGATATGTATACAAGATGTTTCATGACAGTATGGTCTGTGATAAACCTAGAGACAACCCAAATACCCACCAGGGGGGATGGTTAAGTAAACAAGGCATTAATAGACACTGTTTAAATATAGCTGTTTTTATTTAAAAAGTGTTTTCTATAAACAAATATTATATTCTTTCTATATAAATACTAATAGGAAAATATCTCAAGAGCATATAAAGAAAAAGCCATGGTACAGAATTACTTACATTGTATTCTAATTTTATATAAAAAGAATATAGTACACTGGCATTTCTCCTACTCTAAAAGGAAACAATTGACATCTATGGGAAATAAATTAAAGGAGGTTATCTAATAAAGAAGGGTAAAGGTTCGGGGGGCAAAGCAGTTAGAAATCAGATTTTCCCAAGCATGCCTGTGTCATTTTAACTTTTGAACCATAAGAACATGTTATCTACATTAAAAGAATTTTTAAACATTAAAAAAAAAAAATACTTACAGAAAGAAGAGAAAGAGACACCTATAGATAAGACTTAAAACCAAGCTTTAAAGAGATTTTTTGCTCTTAAATTAGATGCTGAAAAGCAATCTTTGTGTGGTCATCGCAAAAAAAAAAAAAAAAATATATATATATATATATATATATATGCTTTTTCCCCCTTCAATCAAGTTAAAGGATATGATAATCTGTTTTTAAAATGCTATTTGAAGGAGTAAGAAATTAGGAAAGAGGAGAAAAATGTACAATGAGGACACTCTAGTATAATGGTTCTCCAAGTATGGTCCCTATACCAGCAGCATCAGCATCATGTGATAACTTGTTAAAATTAAAATTCTCAGGCTCCCACCCAAACTACTGAATCAGAAACTTTGTACTAGTCCAGCAATCCTGGTAGTATCCTCAAGTCTGAGAGTCACATATCTTGTCTGGTGCTTCCCACAGGTTCATGTACACCACCAGTCTGCATTTCAAACAAGATCCAGGATGCTTCAGATATGCTGCTGTAGGACCACACTCACACTTGGATAAGCAAAGCTGAAGTCCTCCTGGGGAAAAAAGGTATGTAACCTTCATATGGTTGAGTTTCCTATGAAACCAGTCCTCAGTATCAGAAGGAAAAAGTGCTTATACAGGCTTCCTAGCCAAGAGAGATCATGGAGCTAGATTCCCACGTAAACTGTGCACACAGAGAATAAATGTTTTCAAATACATTCTTATAAAAACTATAACAACTATGAATCATCGAAATTCGACTTAAGGACGTCTTACTTGAAAAAAAAAGTATAAGGGGACCTACAAACTTTCAGAAATGGGGGAAAAAAACAAAAGTAATCTATAGTCCATAAATTCTGCATGTGTTGTCTGAACAACTTAACCTCAAATGCATTAACTGCCCGCCATGTGCTCTCCATGGAAAAGCACCAAGAAGTTTGTTCCCCTCAAACCCTTTTCAAAAAAAATTGTAGTCATGTTTATGAACACCAGTCTTCCATTTGTTTTACATGAAGAGAAAGATCTCTATAGGAAACTTCTGAATAAAGAATTCTGGTTTAGCTGAGCTCTGCGCGCACACCCCAGGTTGCCAAGGCCTCGGAACAGCGCCTGCGCCACCGGAGCTCCCCCAGCCCTCCCCGAGCCCCCGAGCTGCCCAGACCCGCCCCCCCCCATCCCATCAGGCGCTAGGCCCGCTCAGCCCCAGCCCTGCCACCCAACCCCAGGCCCGGTGGTGGTCGCTCCCGCGTGGAGCCACCCTGCGCCCTGAGCCCGCAGCGGCCCCTCACCTTCCTCTTCCCCCCCTCACCTTCCTCTTCCCCCCCCCCACCTTCCTCTTCCCCGGCTTCTGCTCACCACCGCCACCAACCCACTGGCCACCACGTAGGTGGAGCTGGAGGAGGCCCTACCGCCCATGGGCGCCCAGAAGGCCAAGAAAACAGTGCGTGGCGGGTGGCGGCAGCAGCGGGGGCAGCGGCAGGAAGAACCAGCTGGGCAAGTACACACTCAGCTGGTGGTACAGACTATCCCATCTGCAGTCTGGGCAAGCGTGGCGCCATCTAAGTGGAGGCCAGGAAGGTGGCAGTGGTTCGACCACCACAAAGGGCGCACCTACCTCAAGTACTCCATGCAAGTGCTGGTGCAGGACGACGGCTGCTGCAGGTCAATGGCAAGGGTGCAAAAGACTCCTTCAAGTTCAACCTCAAGAAGCTGGAGGCCTGTGAGGGTGCGCCCCTCCCCCCCCCACAAGCCGCAGACAAGCCCAAGAAGCCAGAGGCGCCGCCCCCTGGGCCTGCCAAAGGCTCCGCAGCCGACAAGCGTGACCCGAAGGCAGTGCTGCCAAGGACAAAGGCAGCAGCAGCGTTGGCGGGGAGCGAGACAGTGAAGAAGGTGGCCAAGCCCAGCGCCCCCAAGGGGCCCAAGCGCGCAAGTGTGCACTTGCGCCGAGCCTCCTACGTCAAGGCGGGCTGGGCTGCGGGCTCCCCTCCCCTCCCCCAGGCTGCTGCGGCCTCCCCTCCCCTGCTCCACGCTGTGTGGGAAGATTTTTGAAACAGCCTGGGTGACGCCCTGAATTTCAATCCTGCTTGGCAATGGCTGTCGCCATGGTCACCGCCTCCCACGGGGTGCCAATGGGGTGGGCTGGTTGACTAGCTTCCAGTGGCCTGGCCCCCTCCCTCTTGCTGCTCTGGGCTCGCAACAATTGCTCCAGGCCCCGGGGCAGCATGGTGTTCCCCTCCCAGCTGTGGGCCTCCAGGCAGGCACAATAAAAGATTGTTGACTTTTGCAAAAAAAAAAAAAAAAAGAACTAGTTTAGACAGAAGGATTTAGTAGTCAAATGTGGTGTCACATGGCCATTAATCTCAGAAGCTCTGGAGGCTGAGACAGAGCCAGCCTCAGTGATGGTGAGGCGCTAAGCAACTCAGTGAGACCCTGTCTCTAAATAAAATATAAAATAGGGCTAGGTATGTAGGTCTGTGGGTGAGTGCCCCTGATTTCAATCCCTGGTACTCACCCTCCCGCAAAAATAAAGGATATAGAAATCTGGAACTTCTTTTTGCAAGTCACCTTTGACTAGCTTTGGGTGCTAAAAATTAACCAATGTGCTGACATTTTTTATATATTTCCTATTTTATTGCCTCTGACATGCCATCACCTTTAAGACAGTTAGAACATTCTTATCCTATGTACCACTCAGAAGAAAAATTGCCATATGGTTTCAACATGCCAATTTTAAGATTCCATCCATCTCAGATGTGCATCTTAAAAATCAGTGAAATGCCTTAGTTATAAACCACAGAATTGTATGGTAAATTGTTTTCCTTCTAGTTAACTCTTATGTATCTCAAATGTGAAACTCCATAAAGGCATACAAGTTTTTTTCTATTTGACAACATATCCTCCATGCTTAGAAACTGGAACATTTTACTTGCTCAAAATAATAAAAATTAATTATTTTCAATTTGGCTGACTTCTCAGGTCAAAGAGATTCAATATAGCTCTAAACAATTGAAAATATATTCTTTTCCGAGAAGTCTTTATTTACATATTTGTTTCCATAGCACCTTTCAATAGTAATAAGTAACAAACACCTTACAAGATTTTTTAAAAATCAAAATAAACATCCTTTTTAGAGTTAAACAAGTTGAAGGAATTTTTGTTACACTGTAGCTAGCTTGAGCTAAACTTTATTTTAATTCTTCTCTATCATGACTAGCAGTGTTTCAAGTGAAAAGATAATTTGTAATGAGCCATACCATGAGGACTGGTATATGTACATCTATCTACATTTTCAAAATTTGCTAATATGAATACCAGTAAGTAGAAAGGGTTATTTTAAAAGTGCTTACAACTGGGCATGTTGCTGCTTGCTTGTAATCCCAATAATTAGGGAGGCTGAAACAGGAGGATCCCAAGTTTGAGACTGCTTTAACAGCTTCACAAGATCCCGGTTCAAGAAGGGGAGAAAGAGCTGGAACTCAGTGGTAGAGCCCCTCTGGGTTCAATCCCTAGTAAGTAACCCACCCCCCAAAGTGATGCCATGAATGTATATTCTACTCAACTCAGATCTGCTATCGTACACACTGCCGTCACTTCACAACTCTGTTCTCACATCAAACTGCTAAAATAATTCTAGTGTTTAGTTGTCAACATTTCTAATATGAATTGCCATTAAACACAGACAAAATTTTCTGACAGAAATCAACCTTGCCTCCCAAGATTCTAGAATAATTGACAAAAGTGTCACTAACCAAGATCATGTCCTTTTTTATATGTCAGACACTTCAGAAAAAAATAATTTTCCCAGAAAGAAGTTGTTTGGCACCCCTTTCTTGTTAAAATTAAGTAGATAATGGATATGTTCTTAATAGTATTCTCAAAGAGGCAGAACTATCCTTAAGAAAAATTTTTAGTTATCAAAGAAATTGAGGGACACCAATTTAGTGTTTGGGGGCATTTAGTGTTTGGGGGCCAGGATCTAGGCTTCACACAATGCTTGGGTGGGATGGATCTGTATCATTAAGATTCATCCTGGTCACAAGAATTTTGATCTTAAAATGGTTTAATCAAGCCCACTTTAAATGAGCATTACTTTAAGACACAATATTTAAAACCCCACTCCTTGCCTCTAATTATGTAAGACAAAGTAGTAAGGAATGCTTCAGGAGAATAAGGAAATTGTCTGAAAATTAGTGCTCATTTCTTCACACTACACATTAACTCAACATAAATTTAAAATTATAGTGAGTATACATAGACTAATATATATGCAAACAGCATGAGATGGCACATAAATCTCACCCTAATGAATCCAAAAATTTAATCTTGTTAATATTTTACTTGTTATTACTAGCAACTGAAGGAATTCATTACTGTTCCTTCAAGTAGCAGTACCTCAAAGCACAAGACACAAAGAATGTGCTCCGACATGGTGGAAAAAAAAGGGATCCATGAAAGGGTCATAGTATGACCTGTGGTAGACTGAGGCAGCCTGTAATTGACCTTGGCATGTTATCCCTAGTTCAATCTAGTCTCTCCTTTTTATTAGCATAAATAAGGTTATCCCAACACTAAGTGTTTTCTCCCTAGTTTCCATCTTCATCTCCCTGTTTGATTTTCTTGTTTGAACTAGATCCTAATACTTTTTTTTTTAATCAACTCAAACTTCTTCATTAGCAGCAGGTGCAAGCACTCGAACACATGCTGTCTTCCACCACAGCTCAAAGTTCTGGTTATATATAAGTGAGACAGCAACGCATGTCATATATTGTCCTCCCTTTACTTCTCTTCTACATGTAAGTGAAAGTATCACACCCACTTTCACTTATGTGTGTAGGTAGGTTCTGTTATTTTTGAACTTCACTGCTCAGTAGCAAAGTGGGCTTGACAAATGTTCAACACCAAGGAGGGGAGTCTTGGTTCTGTGGTTGGCAACCAACAGTTCCAGACTGGAATCACATGCTTCAAGGGGAATCAAACTTTCCTTTGCCTGAGGCAAGACTTTGGCTAGTGACACCACCAGCCCCCATACAAAGGTCACTCTTAGCCCACCTCTGCTCTCTCACACAGGGCCAAATGATAGTTTAGGGGTGGAAGACCTGGGAATTGGACAAAAGGCATGGAAAAAGCCTGTCCCAAGGAACTCACACACCCTGCTGCATCCAATTTCATAGTGAGTCCCAGACACACCCTCGCAGCCCCACCAGGACCCCAGGGAACCAGCTGCGAGCACCTCTGGGAGAAGGACTTTAGGCAAGGAAGGGGCATAGATCTCCGTGGGTGTTGGAAGGCCATCCCACCAGGGCCCAGCAGTGTGACTTTGGGCAGGGCATGGCATCTCTCTGTGCAGCCTGAGCATGGAAGCGCACAAGTTAAGTGCCTGGCACACAGCAAAGTGGTGCTTCCTTGGCTAGAAGCACCAACCCCGCCGCCCTGGGAAACTGAGGCAGGCCCCGGGGTTGCACCCAAGCGGGAGGACTGACTGGCCAGGGGCATTGGCCCATGGCCCTCGGCACCTGGCCCCGCTCTGGGTCCCCGAATGGCAGGGACTCGGCGGCGCTGCTGCAGCTGTGTGGCGTGCTGGGCTGTCTCCAAAGATGCAGGCCACCCGCCTACCCGCTCCCCTTGCCCAGGCCGAGGTCTCTGCCGCTCTCAACCTCCTCAGCCCAAAAGGGACGCTGCCACTGCTGGCAGCCAGATCTCCGGAGACTTCACTCCTCTCCTCACTCCCCTGCCCTCACCGTGGCGCCCCCAGACCGGGTCTGGAACCAGCTCAGCAGGCTCCCTTTTACATGGCCCACTGGGCCAGGGGTCAGGATTAGCCGTTCTCACAACTTTCTATCCATATCCCCGCCCTGAAAACCTCTCTACCAACCCCCCTGACCCTGAAGGATTAAAATCCAGGTGCTAGGCGGTCACCTGGTCTCACCTGGCCGGCCAGGTGTTTGTGTGCACGTGCCAGCCCTGGCCCTGGACCCAGGAGCCTCAGCCCAGGCTTGGACCACAGTGAAAGTAGTGATCATAGTGGCCTAGAACTTTAATGACTCCCCTTGGGTCCTCACAACTTCCCTAAGAAGAGGGTATTACCATCCTCCCTATTCCACCTAGGAAAAATTGGCGTGGCAAGGTTAAACAATGGGCTCTGAGTCACACAGCTACAAAGTGGCAAGAGCCCCCGTTGGAATCTGGGGTCTTCCGGTGCTCAAACCAGCGCCCACCATGACAACCCCCAGGCCCTGTCCCTGTTTGCACCTTGTATCGTGTATGTTTAATAGCCAAAAAAATAAAAATAAAAATTTAAAAATGAATACTAACAGATTAAACTCTATATTCTTTTTTTGAGAATGCATTTATTCCACAAATAATATTTGTGTATATGATGTGATTTTATTTTTTATTTTTTTATATTGGGGATTAAATCCAGGTGTCCTATTAATGAGCTATATTCTCAACTATTTTTAAATTTTTGTTTTGAGATGGGGTTTTGCTCAGTTGTGTGATTTTACTTTAGAATTGTGGTGCTCTTGCCATTGCTTTCAGAGTACAGGATATTTCAGGTGTACACAAAATATACATTGTATGTCCCTCTTATTTATGTTAACTTATGAATTCTTTATGTTTTCTTTTCTATTTAAGTATTATCTATTATTAATTCTTATATTCAATATTTAGTGTATGAAAATAACCTGTCATGTGTATGAGTGAAGGGTACAACAGCATTTTATTATCACACAGATGT